GCGCCCCCTAGGCTCTCGGCACGGCCTTGTTGTGGAGCCAGAGGTCATGGTTTCCTGCCGCGGGGCGAGGGGGGGGAAGGCGTGAGGGTTTGGCACTATTGTTTTGTGTTGTTTTTTCTTCTTTTTTTCCCGTGTGGTGTCCCTTTGAAACCACCAAAAAAGGGGCACCCTCAACAAAAGGACACACCCTATTCTAAGCTGTGGCGCGCCCGGGAAATATGGTGGGTCCCTCGGTCCCCTCTCACCTGTTGCATCGCAATATTGCCAGGAGGCTTAAGCCTGCATCACCAGAATCACGAATTGCCCAAAGGACCTGGAAATAAGATGTTAACCTTTTGGGACCTCTACTGAAAGTAGACCAAAATGAGAAAACCAAAAGGTCAAAAGGTCGTCTTTGAACAACTGAGAATCACCATTTGCTCGCCAAGCGTCTTCCAAGCTGACGACTCTCATGCTGGGGGGGTGTCCACTCATAGGGCATCTTCTTCAGCAAAAGCTGCTGGCTGACTAGCAAGTTCCATTAACCCCCTGAGCACCCTGAGCATGCGGCCGGGAAACGGAAAACGGATTTCAAGCAAGCCTCCGGCTTATAGCCAGGACCGCTGGTTTTAGTCCACGTATCCATTTACCAGGGTTCCATTTTGGGTACCTATTCTTGACCGGCTGCTTTGTGTATTGCCAGGCTCGAGGTGCCTAAAACTCAGAGGTCAGGTAGCTTCTGCTTTTTCCCCTGCGGCGTAGATCAAATTTGAGTTCTGAGCCACAGGGAAAGAAGCGCCATGAAATTTAACCGCGCGGCGAAGGTTACGTGGATTTTTTTGCCGGGCCTGGACAAAAGAAGACCTGGCCAAAACGGTCCAACAGGAGCTCGAAGGTTTCTCGCACCACTGCGAGGTTGTTGGACACATCGCCTGGTGCCCGGCGAGGGTGGCAATCGACAAGACTCGAATCAAACCAGCCTGGAGGGAATTGAACCCCTGGCTCTTGCAGAGCTCAAATGGGAAACCACCAAACCACCAAACCAGACCACCAACTAGAGGGAAGCTGATCCACAAAATACAAAACAAGAAAGACAAGACGTTGTGGCACCACGCGACTCGCACCGTGAAACCTGGCAAAGGATCTTTGATCAGGCTGGAACAGGTCACTAATTCCACAAGCAAAACTTTGGGACTCAACAGAGCAAGCCGGCAAAAACAGTTTCAGGGGTCAAATGGACCTTTCCCAAGTTTAGTACTGGCTTAGTATTGACTAGTATTCGTTTAGTATTGGTTAAGTATTGTGTTGTGCTTATCGGTGAGTATTGCATCGTGCTGCCGCTTGGTATTGGCTTCGTATAGTGCTTCGGTTGTCTTCGGTCCTCAGTCCTCTCTGCTTAGCACTGGTTTTGAGTGTTGTTTCAGCATTGCTTTGTGCTACCTTAGTACTGGCTTTGCCCTAGTACAAGCTTAGTATTGGTTTGCATGAAATGACCACTTCCGTGATACAACAAAAAGGGCCTCCCAAAGACTAACCCCGCCATATAAAGAGGGGATTCCCTTGCATCACAGAAGTGGGGATAAACCCCTTGATCCCACAACCCTGTTTTATAGTACTTTGGCTTTTCGGCCTTAAGGAGATGTAAGGCATCAACGGTTTCGGGGATGGGTGCTGGTTGCAGATGTTCCGACCTTAGTACTCAAAAGAAAGAGCTATCGGACAAGAAAAGAGTTAGGAATTTCTATGGGGGAGACCTTTGCACAATTGGGTGCCCCTTTTGCATTTCTACTACTGCCACCCCCTTGGCAATTTGTCTTCCCAAGCCAACCAAAATTGTGAAAAGGGTTCATGTTGGAGGTAGATGATATGTTTAAAACAGCAGCTTGATTGTATTTGGTACCCTTTGCTTCCTCGGGCAACGGCATGAAAAAGTGGGACACATTCTGTGACCGGTCCCATGCGTTTGCAATGGAGGCAAATGTCCACCAAAGCCCACAGCCTAGGTGTGCCGACTCGGAAACCCTTCTTGCACGGCTTGCAAAAAGCATCGGACGTGCATGACTTGCTGGTTCGATAGGCAGGGAATGAGAAATGGAACGACCCCACGAAAAACCATTCCGTACACCCTGGGTCATCATTCCCTACCTCACTTGCTGAGTGGATGGCCAAAAAAGTCTTCGAACTTTAGATTTACCACTAAAATGGTCTTCCCTAAAAAAATAAAGTTCATTAAATCAGGAAGTGAGCTACTGAGCACCAGCAAGATGAACACGAGTGCCTTCATTGAGCCCTGGATCTGATATCCGATGTTTGAAGCAACCGCGGAAGAAAAAGGCATGGCATTTGCACTATGCCAGCAGGAGAGGCTCCCAAATCACCACATTGGTGTTCCCATTGTTTGGCGAACTGCCAGAAACGCTGCAATCCTTTTAGTTTGAAGGGGGTCAACAAACGCACTTTTGGCTGGCGTAGGTTCACAAAACACAAGTATACATATATATATATAGATATAGATATATGTGCCTCGTTTCGAGGTCAGCCAGCTAGCGCGACATCCCCATGACCGTGAGTTGATCGCGCACTTCTCAACATAACTCCACAGCGCCGCATCGCGTTTGTTTCCTCCAATTTCCATCAGAAGGCTGGTCTGAGCTCAGCCTCGCTGGGATATCATTGGGGTTGCATCAAGGTTTGAAGAGTCTGAAGCCTTGGTTGGAATCAACACAGGGTGAGCTGATTGACAAACGCCCCGTTCCTTGGAACAAGCCCGACTGTCTAATGCTGATCCCAGATGAATATGAACCCCTGAAAAACCTTGGGGATATTTCTGGGTTTAGTGGGGAATCACTTTTAGAGGGGCCGCCCCCTACTAACAAACTGGGCTTGATGAATAATTATATAATATAGGTCAACATTATCAAACTTTGAAGGACACTGGCCTCATTACATTCCCATGATCAAAGTCACCCCCGTTCAGTGGTGGGCTAAAGGGAAACAACCCGATTGTCTGACTTTGATAACCCCCACAAAAATCCTTACATTATACACCTGAACATTGCAACTTGTCAATGGTGGTTTCCCCCTATTTTGGTGGAAAAAGCCACATGTTTCAAGTGGTGGCAAAATGAATTTCTTTCAAGGAGCCCTGCCAAAGGAAACCGTGAAAATAACGGCAGGGAAAGCCCAGTGACTGCCAGCGACCCGGCCTGCCAGCAGGAGCACGTCCGTGTCTCGCCGGGGCCAGGAGCGGACCAGCTCCATGTTTTCCCTGGGGAAAAACCGAACAAAGCCAAGGAGTCAAGTACTTGGCTTGCTTGCAACCCTGGCTTGTCTCCCGTGATTTCTTTAGACCCCGTTTTTGATTTGTGTTTTGTCTTATTGACTTTTTTCCCCCGCCCTTTTTTTCTGACCATCTAATGTTGCAAGCTGCCCTCTTCAAACAGTCAGGTTGGCTGGGCCTTGGCCTGCTTTCTGCTCAGCTGTCTGGGTGAGCCGCGAGCCGAGAAACTGATGCTCTGTTCCCAAAATAAAATTGAAGGAAGCACGTGGCATCTCCCCACGGCATTCTGCACAAGCCCGTTTGATCCTGGAAGCTTGCATCCCTTCGAATCAGACAATGGAGTCATGTCGTTTCGGCCTAAACCGGAAACCAAATCTCGATGCCGGGCTGCTTCTTGTCCGTGTGGATGTCTGACACCGCATAGATGCTGGGGCCCGGCCTCGAGGTCGCTATAACTTCCGCGAAGGCCGCTAGCTCCAGGAAAGCCAAGTTGCCCAAAGACCACTCAGAAGCAACTGGAATGTGAGCCCGCAACACAAACATGATTTACTGGAATGTGAGCCCGCAACACCAAACAACAATCAGGAAATACAGTCCTGCCATGCGTGATTTCAGTGGACCGATTCGGGACAAATTAATGGCCTGGCTTGGTGAAAGCGCTGAGGCTCTGTGAAGGTGAGAGCGGCTCGGATGTTGGTGGCTAGCCAGCTATAAGACGCAAGAGTTTAAGTAATTGCCGCAGCCACCATTGGCGCATTGTTGTTCGAACGGAAAGCAAATGAGCGCAACAGCTCAAGCAGCCAAGCTGCTCTACGTCATCAGGAAGATCATCGAAGTCGAACATGGCTCTGAAGCTTTCCAAGCCGTTCAGATGCAAAGCCGTTGGATTGTGATGCTCTAGTCGAGGGCAGTCGGAGAGAGGATATGCCATCGATGCTTTTCAAAAGCTGAAGCCCACGGGGTGTTCCCGGCCGCCTGTGCGGAAATTCATGGATCCTAAAACCAATAACTCACTGGCTGAGTGGATGGCCCAAAAGAAGTCCAAACTTTATATTTACCACTAAAATGGTCTTCCCAAAAAGTTTAAAGTTCATGAACTCAGGAACTGAGATAATTCAGCATAGGAAGCATAGGCTTGCCTGCAGGTCTGCTCAGCCTATGCCAGGCTTGAGGACAAACAGCTCCCATGGATCGACCGGCTGCGAGCCTCATTTCACCCCGCAAGGGAAAGCAGCATGTCGGGGTGCGAAAACACGGCGAACAGGGCCATGAGTCTGCTAATCATCGACCTATCTGATCTTCCAAAATGTAGCAGCTACAACACACATACATGTTGTCATACCGGACCATGGGTCACATGACATCCATTGGCAATATCGGCAGAAAGTTCCTGTGCAAAGGGACTTCATCACAGCCTATGCCTATCGACTGCCTTGTGCCTATTGCTCTGTGTGGGTCGCAGTCTTGCGCTGTGCCATGCAATGGGCTTCCTAAGCTGACACAGCGAGCATGGCAGCACCTTCAGCGCCCTTTAAACAACACTTGCCTAGCTGCCTTAGGGTCCCAATGCACCTGACCAGGACGCGGCCTACAACACCTTGCTCCTTTCCGCCTACTCAAGCAAGGAACAACTTGTCCCAGGTCAAGCCAGCATGACCTAGCAGTGGCAGAATTACACAAGTCTGCATGACTGATGAAACCATGCCCTCCAACGGCAGCAATGCCATCGCAGCTAAGCGTCAGCTTGTCGCTCGTGACCTGTGCGGAGGGTGGCTTGCTCTATGTTCCTTCCTTTTGTTTAGTGTCGACCGCCTTGCATCTGCTGTACTTGGTGGAAATCGCACGACTTTGAAGCACGCACGACTCGATGACGGACTTTGAACATCTGACGTCGTTTGGAAGAAGCCTCTCCCCGTCGTGCTTGTGCTGGACTAGGCAGCCTCTGGTTTGCATTGGTCCTGCCTGAAGGGGTCAAACAAACTTGAGAAAGCCAACCTGACCATAGCAAGCCAACCAGCTGCCCTCCAAGTTGGTCCAGGCCAAGCACTTTCGCAAGTCTCAATGGGCACCAAAAGCCACTTAATTACTTTCAGCTTCCCTCCAAGTGGTTTGGATTGTTCCCATTTACCCTCCACAAGAACCAGGGGTTCAGATCCCACCAATCCAAACCCATAAGGCCATAAGGGATCAGAAGGGTATCCCAATACTTTCTACCAATCAATGTGGCAGGAATCCCCAACTCAAAGCCCAAATCGCCATGAGAACCCATGGGAGGTTCGTTGCTTCAGGGGCATGTCCCAGTTTAGAGTAGTTTAGAGGGAATCCGGATCACTTTGGGAGCAAACAAACACAGACCCACAAGTTCCGAGTACTTTTGCAGGTCAACGCAAGGAAAAAACAAAGGAACAAAAATCAGCGGCCCAAAATGTTCAGCCACCCACACCCACCCACACACACCCACACACACCCACCCACCCACCCACGCCCACCCACCCACGCCCACCCACCCACGCCCACCCACCCACGCCCACCCAC